CAACGGCTTCAATTTTCCAGCATTTCTTATAATGGTTTATTTCCATTTTCTTGGGACTTATTTCTCCTTTTAATGGAAATTGTTATAACTTTGCCTCAAGATGATTGACTGAGATGGAAAGGCATTCTGATTTTGGGACTGATAGGTTCATTCTGGAGCATGAAATGTGAAAGGGCTAAGGGTAGAGTGCCTAGTACGTAACACCCTGCAGTTGGAACGAGTATCCAAAACATGAATTGTCAATTGGGTTATAAGATAGAAGTTTATGTGCAAGCATCTTTTACTACAATATCTATGAAAATTCGATTACTACCTCATTGAAAGCCAAAATGAAAGACTTTCCTTCTGTAGTCTGGGAGAAAATATTTCATAGCTGGAAATAAAATTCTTCAATGAATGTGACAGTGGGAATATTAGCTTTAGAATGTAGCATGATGTTTTGAATGCTGGAAGGCTGTAGAAATACTGGTTACTTTTTCTTGATTACGAGGCTTCTGGGAAAATGAGGCAGTTGCTTGTTTTACTGTTTGGAGTCCTGTGGTTGATGCAACTACGCTGTTGAGTATTTTTGAAGGCTTAGGATGGGTGTAAAGAAAAGATGTAGGATATAACTACCTTGGTCTTATTTTGTCTCTGTCGAGAATAAGGAATTGGCAGTGTTTTGACAATGCTCAGTTCATTTCTTTGGAGTGAATACTTTTGTTATTCATTTTTCCAGTTCTATGAACCTCTCTTTGATTGTATAGCCATAAATATAGGAACAAAGGGAAAAAAAGTTGATAGGATCAGAGTAAACCACAAGGGAATACCACCACATTATCTGATGATAAAATACTAACCTCATGATGAATATTTCTCTTTCACTAAACATGTTTCTTCGATAGGACATATTTAGTCTTAAAATATAAAACTCAGTTTTATAATAAGAGGTGTATTGTATTATATATGAAATGTTCCAAACTTCCATTTTGTGTGTCACAGAGGAATCAGGTTTTTCTTGTTTTGTGTGGATCAACTCAGTCCTAATAAATACCCTGCTCAATATTTAAGCAATAAAGATGGCTTGACCTTATTGTCTTCACTTTAAAAACCATTAGCCTTAGCATCTGGGTTTTGATGCCTAACTTTTCAGGCAAAAAGCTTTGGGGATGGAGCTTGTTATTTTTTCTATTGCAATTAAATGTATAAACTTATTGTTGAGTAGTTATAAAGGGATTCAAGAATGATATAAACACTTCCATGAAGCAGTGGGTTTTTGACCATTTGTCTTGCAGAACCCGTAATTGTGACTTGAAAACTGATACAGACTTTTTCCATTTATAACCGTCTGTGGTTACCTTATTCTTTGTCTCATAAAAGTTCAGCAGTTTAGAAAATGTGGCTCTCAGAAGTTTAAGGCGTACAAGTTTGAACCTAATGGTGCATCCACGTTAGTGGAGATTTATAATTAAGGCAGTCCTGTTACATACTGTGTCACTTTCCATTGTATAAAACTCAACCTTTTCTTTTAGTTTGATTCGGAGCATGCTCAAAAGTTTGTTACTTCTGCAGACTGATTCACTTACACTCTCAGAAGTTGGTGCTGCTGCATCGGTGTTGCTTGGCTTTCCACCCCCTTCTACACTTTCAGCTGCTAGTTCATCAAAGGTAATAAGAAAAATGAGAAATGATGCTTAATAAATTCATCTATTTATCTTCTGTAACTATGTTGTTCCACATATTCTGACTCGTTATTTTGGCAGTTGAATGAGGTGCTTATGCCTAATCCATTTGATAGGCCTCATTCTGTTTTCATGATTGAAGTTACAGGAGTTGAAGGTACGCCACTTAAACTAAACGACCCAAAAGCTGCAGCTTATAATTGTTTCCGTGCATGGTAAAGTTTTCATTGACTCAAACATGTACAGATTCTCTACTTATGGTTGGCTCCGAGAAATCTGCATTTAGTAGTTCTCTTAGGGTCAAGGTCTTGGGAAGTGAAGACAAAGTGGACATTCAACTGTCAGGTAACTGACCTTTTTGATTGATACATGGTTCCCAATTATGACCATATCAATTGTTACGTTCTTTTGCGTGTGCAGATGAAAATGAAGTGTCCTTGATCTCTTTGACTGAACAATCACGCCATGCTGAACACTCAGATAAAGAACTAAGTGATTTTGTTAGTCATGGCTCTCTCTCTGTACCTCTCTCTGTGTGTGCGTGTATGTTCACTAAGGTCAATTGATATGGTCTTTGGTTTATATACTCAGGCATCCTGGTTGGGTGGATCATACGTTGAAGACGCGACAGGACCACTGAATGGAGAGTTGACATTCCCCATTGCAAATGGTGCTCTTCTCAGACTCCGTATGTCTGAGGTATCAACAGCTCTGTGGCACTTATTAGCAATAAGTACCTCTTTGATGTTTTATTGCTGTCTCTGTAAAATGCTGTTAAAGAACTTTATTTGAAAATGGCAGAAAGCTGACAGAGAATTCACAACTAGTCTTATGCTTCTCATTAATAATATTCAACGGGCTATGGAGATGCATAAAGGATTGTCTGAAAGTAGGCACAGGCCAGCAGAGCTAATCACTGGAAGATTTGATGGGATTAAGGTTTTTGAGTGTTTCCTTCTTTTCTAATTCATTTCAGAAGTGGTATTATGTTTTGGCTTTCCGTTAACCTGAAACTATATTTTTCAAGAGGTAAGGTATTAATTTCCTGAACAATTGTCTCAAATTTATATACCTGGGTCTGAAATGATCTTCTACCGCTATACAAATTTACATTTGTGACAAGTGGGAAAGAGTTTAATCTACTAGTGTTTGGTTATTTCAAAAAATGACTCCTCGCTCTAATGGCACCCATTTGGCTTGCAGAATCATGCTGAATGTACGAAGGCAGACTAATAATTATCAGTCCTTCGTTTCCTTATGAACGTGGAAAGGATAAAGACTCACTTACACTTTCCTTCACACAGCAACACATTACACCCTCCAAACTTAGTAATAAATTGATCTATTGAAATATATTCAACCAAATAGTTAGCACTATAATACAATAAGATTTAGTGGAAAAAAAGCAAGATCTTCAAACTTTCTGCTGGCATGGATGGTGGTAAGTTCAGATGATTTTGATGTTAATTCTGAATCCACATCTTTCCCCTTGTATCTTCTTAATCCTCTCCTACAAATGTGACAGGCAGAGGGAAAGAAATGGAATGTGACTTGTGGGGAACATTATGAGATTTTAGGTAATGAAATCATTTGGGTTTCAGAGGAATGAGCAACTGACAGAATCAAAATTCTTCTGATGACATGATAGGTGATTTGAGCTTGGTGGTAAGTAGTTGCTGGTGGTTGGTGATTGGTAATTGGCAATTGGTGATTGGTAGTCATAGGTCAACATTGGGACATGAGGCAGAGGGTAAAAGAGGGAGGTGGTGGTTTTCTTGGGGTTGGTTTTGTTTCTACTTTCTAGGTTAACCTAGAATGGGGATTTGCGATATTTCAGACTGTAAGGGGCTCCAATACTTTCTCCGGAAGTCATTTTTATGGAATGGTTTTCTTGCTTCTTTTTTCCTACCCTAAAGAAGTTTGAACTGAAGAGTTGGGAAGTTCTTTCTGTCGACAAAAATTCTGCAAAATAAATATGTGCTTCATGTCTTGATGAAAGGAAGAGTGTGTGTTAGCAATGTAATAGCTAAGTAAATGAGAAAGTCTTCTTCATATTCTCCCGAATAAATTATTACACCCTGAGCTGATAAAGTCCCGGCACATTTTAATCAAAGATTCGTAAGTTTTTTGAACCTTTTCCATGAATTCTTTGCTTTTACAAATTTGTAAATCTACTTATTTAGTCTCTTTTCAACTGGTAAGGATGAAATGAAAATAATTAGTAAATTAATGAGCTTCCGAACATCAAGAATGTTTGAAATAGTCCTCACAAGCCAATTGTGCATCTTCAATTGTGGTGCAGTGGTGCAATTCATGCTTTTTATTTGAGTGAAAAGGTTGATTAAAAATATCAAAGCGAGTCACTACTTCTGAGTTTAAGTAACGGATAACTGAAGAAATGTTGACAGAGATGACTTTTAGAATTTTTTAAACGAACGTCTTCTAGACACCTGTAATTTGAGTCCTATCCTTTACTTCATCAATGTATTTTATTGTCACAGGTTCTAAAAGACCATTATGGAACAGAAGGAGTTTCTCAAGATGGATTGGAATTATTTGTTAGCTCTGTTTCAAGAATATATGATTCCTTACAGGCAGCATACAAAGGTATGGTGTCCTCTTCTGATAGGTCGATGTGAATTAATTTAACTGCTCAACTTCTATCTTTTTCTATTCTGACTGTTCTTAAGAGCTGAATTAGTTTGTTTATGCATCAGCCTGGCATTTACTTGTTGCTATCCATGCTTTTGAATGTTTGTTGTGCTTGACTTACAATGTATAGAATAATCTTCATTTGTGTTATTCTTAGAGATGCAGCTGTTTCTTCTATTTGATNGCAGCATACAAAGGTATGGTGTCCTCTTCTGATAGGTCGATGTGAATTAATTTAACTGCTCAACTTCTATCTTTTTCTATTCTGACTGTTCTTAAGAGCTGAATTAGTTTGTTTATGCATCAGCCTGGCATTTACTTGTTGCTATCCATGCTTTTGAATGTTTGTTGTGCTTGACTTAAAATGTATAGAATCATCTTCATTTGTGTTATTCTTAGAGATGCAGCTGTTTCTTCTATTTGATTAGTTATTGCCAACTATTGGTGTCTCTGTTTGCTGAAGATTTCTCACTTGTGAATCTTATCGATCATATATTCATTGTTAATTCCTGTACTGGAAATGAATATTTTGTATCATATGAGCAGGCCAACTAGTTGGAGTCATTGTCTGTGGTGGACCACATGCCCCAGCATCGGAGAATATGTTAAATGTGATGGTTGCTTCTCGACCATCTGCACGTTGGTTGGAGGAAAATGAAGCCTCGGCTGCTTTTATCAAAATTGCAGAAGTGGCGCTGGTTAGAAAGACACTTGCTTGGATAACAGGAATTATTCTTCTAATTTCTACTCTTCTGGGGGTAAGTTTCTATTGAGAGAGACCCAACAGCATCTTTTATATTTAGTTGAATTGCTACCATATAGCTTGCTGCTTTCATTGGTTGCTCTAGTGGATTTTTTTATCTGCGCATCTCAAATTTTTTTTCTCATAATCTCTTGAAATTTATTCAATAATATTAGTGTTTGGTCGAATATCCCGCATGTAATTGATCTCGCATTAACTGTAATTGATTTTTGGATTATATACCAAGTACTGTAATTTGAGCTGGTTGGAATTTTGTTGGCAACTGAATATAGTTTATCTGGAGACATTAAAGAGGAAATATCAGGGCATAATCTGCTTTTGGTTAGCAAAAAAAAAATAAAATTTCCACTACTTAACTCTGCCTTGGGCTGTTATCTTCTCTGTACTTCAATCTCTCCTTTTATCATTTTACTTTTTACGTGATGAGTTCTCGAATAATGTTTTGCAGTGTGAGACTGAAAGGATATATGTTGTGCGGACGCACTTCCTATTTGTGCATTTTTTTAACCATATGGCATTTCTGGACTTGAAGATATTAGTATCCACTATACATACTAGTAGACAAGCAGTACCTGTCTCAAGAATTTTTTTTTTTTTTTTTGGCTTTCCATTAATCTAATAGTCACATTTTCGATACCATGGTCTCATTGAATCATTTTGTTTGATGCAGATCTACTTTCTTTTGAATATGCCTCTGACCAAGGACACACTGCTCTATTCTAATGTCAAGCTCGACTAGTTTTTCGTGGAAGCTGTTTATTTTGTTATTTGAACTGCCAGGAGGTCGGGACTGCAGTCCTGTGAGATAAATTATCGTGTATCTGCTCTTTCTTCCCTTCGAAATTGGGAAATTCAATCTATATTTTCTGCGATTCTGTTCGATTCATTATCGATGGTATGATCAAACTGGACATGTAGTACATACGAAGGGGAGAAAGGCTCGGATTCTGGCGAGTGATGTGTGTATCTGAGAGCTTAGGCTTTGAGTCTGTAATCTGATGCTCTTAATAATGCTGGCACAAAAGTGTTTTTTTTTTTTTCGTATTTATATAATAAGGCGTTTGCTTGAACTTGTCGCTCTTTGGCATCGCCATTTGTTTCATTACTAACAAATCTGATAATATCATTTACTGATTAAATACACGAGGAGTCTTTGGAGAGATGTTGAAGATCAATACATGATGATGATGGAAATGGATATTGCCTTATTTTTATTAAGTTTTATTATTTTTTAGGTAATTTTTCTATTTTGTTTGGAGTTTGAGGACCACATTTGTAACTGCGATTAAATCGGAAATTAGATTTTGAGTGCTTATGTGAAGCACAAGTGTAGAGAGAGTTGGCTTTTTATGAATGAAATTTTGTGCAATGTGACTTGTGATCCTCTCGGTATTCAAGAAATTAATGGACATGTGATCGTGGTGTTGCTTATTCCCTATTCCGTTGCATCAGGACAACATTTGTATATCTATATTACCTCAAATATCAAGCCACCAAATAATCCTAAACTCTGCCACAGTCGAGAATCTTGAAAGCGCACACAGTTTTCCTTAATATTTATGTAATATTATTAAATGAATCTTTGCCAATAGCATTCTCTCTCTCTATTTTTATTTTTTTGCTGAACGTGCGTTTGGTAAGCATTACGAAAGAGAATTGAACAATATAACATGCAATACTTAATTTTTCCTTAACACCGTTTATTGTAATGCATTCTATTTTACCAATCATGCTTTGAGTGGAATATGTTTGAAGTGATGTGGCTCGAAACCCATGATTCTTTAATTGTTTCATATCAACATCAAACCCTGTATTATTACATAACATTTGCTGGACAATCTTCACTTGTTTCTTTGCAGCAATTCTTTGTTCTTCTCATTACACACGTATATCAAAGAAGGGATAAGGAAAGCAAATGAGAGGGAGCTAGGAAATTTATTTCCATTTTATTTAGAAATCCTTAATTTTGAAAAGATCTCTTTTCTTCGGTTTCTCGCATTTTCTTTTGAAACGGACTCTATCTTTGCATTTGTAGCAGGTCGAAACTCAATTCCTTCAATAAAGAGGGGAAAAAATCGATTAAAAGGTTCCAACAGCCGTGCCTCCACCGGGCCATCATATATCCTAGATCATTATAAAACATTCCCAATTGTACTTCCATCCATCCGTCGGGTCTTCTCACTGGTTGAAATTGAATAGTAGTAGCTCGCCTTTCGGCATCACGATCTTCATCAAGATTAACGAACTTTTGCTGGTGGAATGTTCTTGTAAGAGGTTCCAAATCTATATACGAGATCAGCAGCATAACGAGTCTTTGGGGACAACATTTGTGTTTCTATCGTCCCTCGGATATCGGTCTCCCGTTTATGGCAGGAAATTGCCACCATTGAGAATCTGCAAATCATATAATTGATATTCCCCTTATCAGAATGCAATTTCCAAATTAAATTTAAAAGCAAAATATTTGATGAATGATACCTGGATTCTGAGTGAGGTGTCAATTTCCAGTAATCATTAAAATTTCCTTGTTCGAGTTCCATCGCTCCAATCATATAACATTTCTTCCCAGTAGTTTTATCAATATGAAAGCTCTGCAAGTTTCAATGTTCAAATAATTACTCCTTAAAATATGACAAACACCAAAATTCATTTTGTTTATATATTATCTCTCACACAGTTCATGAACCTCCGACAAAATGATGATAATTTAATCTGAACAATATAACACAGGATTTCGAGATTATAATCAATACTCCATCTCAGCATTTTATTCTGTGATAAATTCAGCCATAAGTAAGAAGCTTGATAACCAAAAAAGAATTATCAGAATAAGATTTTCATCTAAACACAATAATTAAGGATAAACATACCATTTTGCCTCCATCAAGTAAAATAGGAGAGCTACAAAGAAAGATCTTCCGTGGTTGCATAGGCCACATGATTCACGGATCTGGAGATGACGTCCTCATAATCAGGCGGCAACAATCTCTCCCGATCTGTTTCATTCACTATACTTGAAGAAGAAGATCCAAGTTGAATATTCTGATCATCACGAATCGGAGTACTCCACCCAGATATACTAGGGGATATGGAGCTGGAACTTTGTCCCCTCGAGGACATTAAAGCAAGTTGCCTGAGTTGTTCCCTGCGGAGAACAACTTCCACGAGTCTTTCCCAATTACCATGGATATTAGACACCCATCCACAAAATCTCGAATGAGAGACTCCCACTTGAATAATTGCAAGTTCAGATTCTTAATTTTCAATGCCCACTTTGTCACTAAACTACTGACATATTATAATATTGTAAATTAAATAATGCTTTCTCTTGAACTCCATCACTTTGTCTGGAATGCATAGATGATACAGTTGGAGTTCTTTCATTTTCATTCTACCCCTGGAAGAGAATGTTAGTCACGGTCAATTTTACCTCCACTGAGGAATAACGCGAACAATTTCAGTAGCAAAACTTTTAAAGAGGAAATTGCACAAAATGTCAATATCTGGCTTTACATGTACAAAAATGTCACTTTTTTAAACTCTTTCCAAGATTGACAATTTATCTGTAAAAACGGGGAGACGTATTTAACTTTTACCTTGCATGTCCAACATTAATTCAGATTTGACAATATTTAAAATATGTACAAAATGTCAGAATTTTTGTCAGGAGGAAGATCAAAGGACAAATAACTCACTGGAGGTTGAAGATTTTGTATTTTCATCAAAATTCAAAACCCTCGTTTCTTTCCTCTCATCTCTCCCATCCCGTCTTAGCGCCGTCGAGTCTCTGACCGCCGCACCGCACCAGTTCACTCTCCATCCTCTCTCCCACAGTTGACAGTCCGACGGCACTCTCCCACCACACGCCGATACACCGCACACTGACACGGCCACCCAAGGGCGGACGCGGCAATTTGTTTGTTCGCATCAATCTCGCATCGCAGCCATGCTCCGCATCTGCCCGTTCCAACTCTCTGTCCCACCTCTCTGAGCAGTGAGCTTTCTCGGTCTCCCCGGCAGAGGACAT